TGTGTGTGTGTGTGTGTGTGTGTGTGTGTGTGTGTGTGTGTGTGTGTCTGTAGTGCCTTCGCCTTCTTGTTGCCCGTTCATAATTGATGCTGTGCTGGCAACTTCCATATTTGCAAATTACCCGTCTCTCCTCAAATACAAGCTCACACCAATAGAAAAAGCCCAAAAAACAAGACATTTCACCGGCAGAAGAAACAGTAGGATAAACAACACCTGACTTCAAAGTTTGGAACGCACTTAGGAAGCACTTCCACTTCCCCTTACCTGCCTTCTTATCTTTTCCTCCTTTCTTCTTTCCCTCTTCTCCCGCCCACTTCATTTGATCTCTTTTATGTCCCTCTCGTCACTCATGCTCCCTCTCTTTACCCCTCCCCCTGTCCATCACTCCACCCACTCCGTTCGCTTGTCACTGCCTTCCCCTTGTACTTATTCTTCTTCCTCCCTATCTAATATTTATCAACAACCTCTAAGAGTATCCAATTTACTTGGGACTCTGTCAAAAATAACTGTCTATTTATGTCTGCACACGACAAAGAAAGACGGGGGAAGAGCACAGGAGGGTTATAAACAGCATGTGAAGATAAATAAAATGTATTTTTCTTCAGAATTCAGGACACATCTAAAGAAATTGCTGTGGTCATGAGAAAATCTTTCAAACAAATCAATCACGACTTTTGGATTAAGTAATGCTACTGAAGTTCAGTTTACGAAATTTAGGAAAGTGCTACTTGTGTTGTATGACGTCCTCTGAAGGTGCTTTGTCATGTCTGAGAAAATAACCCCTGTGATGTCATTCGGGTTATCTCAGGTTCAGATTATTAAAGACATGTTTGAATGTTTAAAAACTAAAGGCGTTACTCAGGGAGGGTTTAACAAAAAATATCCACTATCAAGATGCATTTTGGGAACCATTGAATTCAGCATATGTGGGGTTTGAACCATACTAGTGATTAATAGTCAGGGTGTCTCAACCTCTCTGCTTAGACCATTATTTTTCTATTCTTTCTCTCGTGAGAACCTGTCGAAGTATTATTATTTTTTGGCTACGGTTGGCCGGATCATACCAGTGCATTTTCTCTTTACATTTTACCCGACAGACTAAGAGTTGCTTACACTGTACAGCACTGCACACCACCAGGCGTACCATTCGTTTTCAAAGTAATTTCCTGCCTTCCATGCAGCCATTGGTTTCCATTCATTTCTATTACAGTATGAAAGTCAACTCGGAGGGATTTGCACTGTGATGGATTGGGATGTGATGAAACCACTAGCTGCCTAGAAGATAGGGAAAACCCATATGTTTTCATATTACTCCTAAACTGTATTTTTTTTTATTTTATAACTGCATTTTCATTAAATTCTGCTCTTGTAGCATATTTTGTGTTTTCTGTTCTGTTAGTCTCTAACTCACTGTTGCATATTAGCCAAGACACTCTTGTGAAGGAGATTGTTAATCTCAGTTAAGATTTAAAGCCCGTTCTGTGTGTTCCTCTGTTTATGTTTACATCCCTTTATATGTTTGCTGTTTCTGACAGAGCAGAGGTGGGAACCATCTTCGCACTGTCCTGGCTCATCACGTGGTACGGCCACGTGCTGTCAGACTTCAAACACACCATGAGGCTCTACGACTTCTTCCTGGCATCGCACCCGCTGATGCCCATTTACCTCGCCGCTACGGTGAGCAGGCGTAGAAGCCAACAGGAAATGAACAAGAGGCAGCGACTTTGTTTTGTCAGTAATCCAGGACGCTCACATGTGAATACATGCTGCCAAACACACACACACACACACACACACACACACACACACACACACACACACACACTCTCTCATGCATACAGTGAGGCAGAGTACTGTGAAGTCACTAGACTAGTTAATTAGATACCTCCTAATGAACAGATGAGAGAGAGAGAGTGAAGGAGGAGCTATAGCGGGAGAGATAAAAGAGGAAAGAGAGGGAGAAGGACGAGGACTGCATCAGGAAACAGAATGACAAGCAGAGCTGACTGATGTTTGACTGAGAAGGACAAAGAGATTACAAAGGAAAAGCATTTTTCTACTTGTGACTTTTTTCCCTCCTTGTTCCTCTGGGTGCAAAACAACAACTGTTTTGGTAGAAATGTTTACTGCTGGAACATGTGTATGTGCAGGTGTGTTTGTGGAAAAATTATATTGTGTATGTGAATGCATCCTGTTTTTAGGTGTTTTAATTGAGTGTGAATAGGTCTTTTTAAACAGAAGGGTTTTGTGTTTGTTGATTAGTGTGTACATTTGTGCACACTTTGTGTGTGTGTGTGTGTGTGTGTGTGTGTGTGTGTAGGGGCTGGGCAGAGGGAGACTTCTGTTTTGAAGTGTGTGAAACAACAAAGCATTATGTAGTTCATGTTTCCTCCAAGGCTGAGAACAGCGCACAGCATGGGGGGGTTAACCCTTCATCTGCCTATTTCACTGCTGAGCACTCATTCCGCCTCACTAGTATCACTGAAGCTTCCCAGTGTACAGTGTGTAGAATCTTTATCACAGCTTTAGTGTGTTTTAACCCCTCCTCTCCTCCTCAGATTGTGCTGCACAGAGAGAAGGCAGTGAAGAAGACGGAGTGTGACATGGCCATGGTCCACCACCTGCTCTCACGCATACCCCAGGACCTCCCATACGAACTTTTGATCGGCCAGGCCCAGGACCTGTTGGACCACTACCCTCCATCTCTACTGGCCAAGCAGGCAGCGCTGCAGCCTCGCAAGAGGTGAGGGGACAAGCATTGAAACACAAGATGGCGAAAAATTATAATGATGTTACTACTATGCATTCACATTAGATAAATGAGGCATCATGCTGGGTCATACTTCAGTTATAATTAAATACAATGCACTTGTTACGTTCTGCCAAAGTAAGTGAGCAAAACATACTCATACTGTTGTGCGTCAAGGGCTGCAAATAATAGTTATTTTCATCATAACTTAATCAGTAAATCATTATTTTTTACCAATATATTTATTTAGCATATTTTGCCTTTTATTGGACTGTAAGAGGCAGACTGGATATAGGGAGCGAGAGGGACGTATGGCATGCAACAAAGGTCTGCAATCTAACCGGGGACGTTGTGTTTAGATGGCGTGCACTGTAGCCAGTCGGCTAATGGTTTGCTTCAGTAAATCATATACTGATTAATGAATCGTACGATTAGTCTACAAAACATCACAAAGTTATAAAAAGAAACGTATAAATATATCTAAAGAGATATATTGTCTTTAAATGACTTGATTAGAACAAAAAAAAGCTGGAAATATTTGGCAATAAATGGCTCGATGATCAGTCAATTGTCAAAATTGTTGTCTATAAGTGTTCTGTCAATAATTGCATCCGAACACGTAACACTAATATAAAAGTTTAATGTTTTATAGAAATATTTTGAGGTTGTGCATTTGAGTAAGTTCCCTCAGTAACCAAGAGGGGATGCACTAAAAACACATCCAGTTCCAGTGGTGTTCATCATGTCATTCCAGCTGTCCATGCTTCACCTTAGATCTGACTCTGCTCTCCATCACCGACTAACTCTCCCTTCCCTCTTCCCAACCTTCTCTTCCTCCGTTTTCTGTCTCCAGTCTGTCCATCAGCACCTTCCAGGCGTTTCAGTTCTCCACCCTCCACCAGAGGCCTGACTCTGTTCTCCAACGCCTCACCAAGGCCCAGGGCTCCAGCCACTCCAGACACGGTAAAGATAGTAACTGTAATCTTATTACTGACTCTGAAGAAGGATTGGACACATACAGACAGTACAGTGA